CTCTAGGTTTGCTTTCCCCACTTTCCTGCCTCTTAGGGGTGGGGGCTGTTTCCCTCCCCTTACCTGGGTCCCTGGATGCTGCTCTGCTCTGTTGTCCCCTCTGGCTTCCCTTTTCCCTACTTTTCTGCCTCTTGGGGATGGGGCCTGTGTCCTTCCCCTTTCCTGGAACCCTGGCTGCTACTCTGCTCTGTCATAAAATTGAATATTTTAGTATTTTTAAATCTTTGAAGCGTATATACCCTTTCTCACAACATTTTAAGATTACCAAATTTTTTTAAATCCTAATATTAATTATGACAGTATATATCTATATTATTTTCTGTATGTGTCATGTAGTGACTTTAGGAATAGTGACAATCCCAGACAAAGCAACCTAGTAAAGTTTGCTTTTGATTTGATCTGCGTCTGTCCCCAACACCATTCCATGTTCTAGTTTTCCCCACACTAGAGTCCCATTTCCCCACAATGTTAAAATCTCTTTTTTTCCCAGTGCCCTATGAACAAGATTTGTGGTGACCTGTGCCTGGCCAGCTTGTGTCATTTTCCTACAGTACTTTTGCAGAGCGCTCAAGAGAGAAGCAGAGAATATATGTCAAAGTATGTTGTAAGCTACAAGGCAATATACATGAATAAAATACTAAATGATCTTCATGAAATATACCTATACTATATGGCCTACTCCTTTCCCTTTTTAGACAGAGAACAGATCACCCTTCATTTTATTCTTTTATTGATGATTTAGGATTGCCATTTTGAACGTATGAATTGTGTAGACTTATGTTGCCTTTGGCATTTGACTGCTAACCAGAAGGCTGGCAGTTCAAACCTACCAGCCAATCCTCAGAAGGAAGATGGGGCAATCTACTTCTGTAGTGATACCACCTCGGAAACCCAAGGACGGGTCACTATGAGTCGGGTCCAACTTGATGGCACATAACAACAACAACAACAACATGTTGCCATTGGTGTCCATTAATCTGCAGGTGTGAGAAAAATAAATTCCTAATTTTTCAGTCACTATTGTTTTTTATTTTCTGATGCAGCTGAGATCAATTTATTACTGACATTGCATTTGGGGAAGAGTTTAGGGATTCTGGGTACCCAGTATGAGCCAAATCCTATTAAATGTCCCCAATCTGAACCAAAATTATTTTACTATTTCCACTAAAGAACATTCACAGCACATAGTTTGCTTTCATAGGTAAGGTATGAGACAGTTTGACAAAATTTTACGTCACTGTGTTACAAGGGTTATCAGCTTTCTGGCTTCCGATATCTGTGTCCTCAGTGCTCAAAACCCCATCTCCTTCAGTAATCCAATTCCACATATTTGATTGAGCTTGCAGCAGCAAGTTTTTAGGTACCAAATTCTATTTAGGTCAAGGTCCTTGATCTCAAATAGCATCAATCTAGTTAGTTTATGCAGAAAGGAATTTACCAAAAGTTAGTAAAGTGGTCACAGAATCTCTGTTTTCGATGTTAACTTAGAAAAGAACAACAGTAGTTCTAGGAGCCACTGCTGCACTTGGCAGATTGGATACTGTATGCTAGAGTCCACTACAGTTGTCCAGAAGAACCATGTGGTACCACTATCATGCTTCCCAGAAGATACAAACTCCCTGTGTGCTGCTGCCATACTCTCCTCATTTCTCATCTATGTCCTGGGCAGCTGCTGTTGCTGGGTGAGAACTTAGACCACATGCCTGCACCTTAGCTGATGGAACTGGTGTCACTGAATTGTACAAGGGAAGGATGTTTAATTGTATAATGTTGTTATTCATATTTTCACAATATTTAAAAAAAAAAGACTAGTAAATATTTTTTTGCTTCCAGCTCCTATTGTGCAGTAGAGCAAGCAACAACAGAGTTAGAATCTGTGTGGCATAAACCAACCTACAGAATTTGTCACTATTTCCTTCTTCCTTCTACAAAGTCATTGTGGGAGTTTGTGCAAGGTACTTAACCTCTCTAACTAATCCAGTTTCCTAATCTCTATCATGAGGATTTTGAACTCTGTAAATTCCAAAGGCCCTGACAGTAGTGCAATTCCGTGTCTGTGCTGGTTTGAATTCTGGCCTCCAGGGATGGAATCCTTACACAAACCAGCCAACACAAGTCAATAGGATTTATCAGCTTTTATAACCTATCTGTGGGAAGAACAGGAATGAAGTAGCTTTAGGGGAGTCTCCTCTGGCCTCTCATTAGCTCCTTCTCTCCTTCTTTCCATGTGTTGGTTTCAGAGACCAGCTTCTCCCTGAAGTTGGGGAAGCAGTCCCTGACAGCTCCAAAGCTCATATCCAGAGAACTTCGAGATCATGGAGGAAAGGAGTTCTTTCCCACAGTCAGTTCTAAGGGCTTGAATAAGGACTCTCATTCACCCAGCTTGGCTTGTTGCCCACTCTAGGAGTCAAAGGAGTGGCATCTTTAACCAGAGAAAGATACTGTGCAGGCATGGCCACCAGAAGTTTGTGCACCAGCCAGCCACACCAACCTGTGATCAGTGCCAATCCTAAGATCCAGTGAGTCACAATATATCATTCATTCATTTGTTTTCAGGCTTTTATTGTATATCTCAGTGTGTAGGGGGCTTCATGGGAGATACATACACCATATATATTATATATATATAGGCATATAAATGCCTGTGCATTTTGGCAAGCTTCAAATGTAATTGTAGATATAAAAGCTGATACAGGAGTATTACCAACTACAATACCAACTGTGAACAAACTATATAATGGTTTTAAGAAAAGATATGAAACTCTTAAGTAGATGAATGTAAAAAACTGGGTTTTGAAGGGATAGAGTGACTTAGTTTTTGCCGAGTATTTTGTCCCAAATCATATTTCCAAGCCAAATCATAGTTGGCTTGAAAGATCATTAATAAAATATAAAAATGATTAATTTTTTTCTTGACCTTTTTTTCCTCATCTTTTTTCTTAGATTTTGACTATTTGTATGTTGACCTTTTTTTCCTGATCTTTTTCCTTGGATGTTGACTATTTGTATTGGTATATATATAACATTTTTCCTTTGGAAAGTTACATTATTGCACTAAAATACATTTTGCCTTTAACAATAAATATAACAACATGGTCCTTTGGTCTTACAGTTTACAGACATAGCTTATATAACAGGAAAAACTACCATTTTATCCTTGGAATCAAATAATACGTAGCTCACCATAAAATGTACCTAGCGTTTTGCATATTAAGTTATGTTGTATTGACAACTGGATGGTTGAATTGTTTGAAAAGTTTCAGTCAATTAATGTTTCAGCCTTTGGTTCAAATAAAAATGAATTTCTTGGTTTTATAATCTGAATCACATGCATATTAAGTAGAGAAAACTAATTACAGTAAACCCTGCCAATAATCCGGATATTCCAATAATGTCACACTATTATTTCTGTATTTACTTGTAACACTTTTACATAAGGTTTTAGTCTTAAGTTATTTTTGTCTTGTTGGTCTCTCCTTCTCTGCTGATTATGAATATTCCTATGATTTAATTAGACATTATGCTTTTATGCCAAGTCAAGGCTCTAGAGTGATTTATGCACACATTTTTCTCTTGGACAAACCCTGTAGATAGTGGTTTATACATATACTATTTAGCTTTTTCTTGCTGGGAATTTCTATTGCAATAAACAATAATGGGTTGATATGAGTGAGTTACTCTAGTTTTTGAAATATAATATATCCATTCCAATAAGTGGAATATATACATATATCCATTTTAGTGACTGCTAAAGCTATTTATTTCAGAATTGATGTCACTTTAATGTGGTAGAATCATTAGTCCTTTTTTTTTATTTAAAAAAAAAAAACCTTAAGTTGGTTTTTTCACACTAATTATCATTTCTTACGGCCTTGAGGATATGGAAAGATTTGGCAAGTCATTAAATCATCATTTATGCATACTTCTTTATTAGAAATTAAGTATTTTCACTAGAGACCACAGAAGGATATTAAAGTAACCTAATTTTAAAATAGAAAATTAAACTTCACTGTAAGGAATTAAGTTTTTCAAGAGTGCTCCCAAAAAGAAAAATTGAGAATTATTTAAAAGTTTTCTCAAATTTGGCTTCCCCTCCCCCAAGGGGAGAGAGTGGCAAGTCTTCTATAATTTTTAAATTTGCTGATAACCTAAATGAAATACACACTTTTCCAGGACTACTTGGGATGACAATTGTGTGTAAAAGTATTGCCATATGATCGTAGCACCGGCATATTTGTCTCTGATCCCTGTGGCACTAAGTGAAGAGTAATAATGCTTAACTTTTCATGCCAAGTTTCCCAAATTGGATCCTCAGACCCTGCCCAGAATTGTTAAACATTCCCTATGAGATCTGTGACTTGCCAATGTTGAGAACAATGGTTCAGAGGATGATTCTTAAGGTGGAGTGGGTATGATGGGGTGGGAATGACAAGGGGGGGACATGCACATAGTTTGAAAAAGCACATTCAAAATGCCTATTAATTTCATAATACAAATGTCATATGGCAAGATCAGAGAAATATTTTCAGCTGATGGCCAGGAACAGATAGACTCATCCTGGGGGGTCAGGGGTAAATATGTCACTGGCTTTAGAGGTAGAGAAGTGCTGGCACCTGGAAAACAGTTAAGAAGGAAAACATGCCAGAAAGGAAGGACACCTTTTGGTCAAGGAGTGAATCCTGAATTAGAACTGGGTCTGTTTTTTTGGAACCCAAAAGGCCAACCCAGAGGAAAACCAAGAACATACATTAATCTCTTGGCCCTGTATTTTGGAGCAAGTTGGTCCATTTTTTAAATATTGATCCAAAAGGAAAGAAGTAGTTTTTGCCAAATATCACCCCCCACACTTTGTTTTGGTAACATAATCAGAATTGCAAGTAAACAGTTCCTGTAGCTGGGAAAGAACAGCCCCCCCCCCATCCATCCACCAGGAAGAGCTGTCATCATTTGTGATGTCACCAGCTCCCAAGGGGATATCAGGCCAGGGTCCACTCTGGAAATTATTTTAGAACTCCCATCTCCTCTAGCCACTTCAACAGTTCCTCATTCTTTTGCATCATTATTGGATCAGAACATCCACCTAAACATTCAGTACCCATAAAAACCCAAGGTACAGTTCTGGCTCCTGTGAGTTGTTGAAGATAATCCTGAATCGAGTTTATGTCAGTGGTGGCTGTGATATCAACAAATTCCAAGAGCCCTTGTTCGAAAGGCAACAGGCTGAGGATCTCTTGGGTCTGTCTGCAGTAGGAGCAAGTGGACTTGGTGAACACGACCACCTTCCCAGGGTGGATTCTGCTGTTGACAAATTGTTGAGCTGTGCTGACAAGCTGCTTTCTCCAGGAGGACTCCGCAATTGCAGGTACTGCTTGAGTATAAACCCAGAATCATTAGTTCTTAAAGCTAACTAGTGTTCTTCATATTCTAGGGATTCCATCCAACCTTTGATGAATATTAGTGTTATACAGAGAATTATTGAAAATTTTGTTGTTATAATCTAACTGATTTTAAACTATACATTATTCCTTTTTTTTTTTTTCTATTCAAATGACTGCCTCTTGGTCTATGTATAGGTTCCTCATGAGCATAACTAAATGTTCTGAAATCCCCATTCTTAGCAATGTTATCCATAATTTATTATGGTCCCTGCAGTCAAATGCTTTTGTATGGTCAATAAAACACAGGTAAACATCTTTCTTGTATCCTCTGCTTTTAGCCAAGATCCACCTGACATCAGCAATGATATCCCTTGTTCCACGTACTTTTCTGAACTCGCTTGAATTTTTTGCAGTTCACTATCTGTGTACTGCTACAAGCATTTTAAAATTATTTCCAGCAAAATTCTACTTGCCTGTGATAACAATAACATTGTTTTATAATTTCCACATTCCATTGGATCATCTTCCTTTGGGATAGGCACAAATATGGATGTCTTCCAGTCAGTTGGCCAGGTACCTGTCTTCCAAATTTCTTGATAGAGATGAGTGGGCACTTTCAGTGTTGCATCTGTTTATTGAAACATCTCAGTCAGTATTATGTCAATTCTTAGAGCCACGTTTTCTCACCAATGCCTTCAATGCAGTTTGGATTTCTCTTTTAATACCGTTGGTTCTTGATCATATGCTACCTCCTAAAATAGTGGACCATTGGCCAGTTCAGGGACTCTCAGCATTCCTTCCTTCTTCATTTGATGCTTTCTGTGTTGTTCAATATTTTGCCCATGTTCTTGTTGTTAGGTGCTATCAAGTTGGGTCCAACTCACAGCAACCCTATGTACAACAGAACAGAACTTTGCCTGATCCTGCACCATCCTCACAATCATTGCTATGCTTGAGCCCATTGTCTCAGCCACTGTGTGAATCCATATTGTTGAGGGTCTTCTGCCTTTTTACTGACCCTCTACTTTACCAGGCATGATATCCTTCTGCAGAGATTAGTCCCTTCTGACAACATGACAGAAGTACAAAAGGCAAAGTCTGGCCATTCTTTCTTCTCAGAAGCATACTTCCTATACTCCCTCCAAGACAGACCTATTTATTCTTCTAGAAGTCCATGGTACATTCAATATTCTTCACCAACACCACAATTCAAATGCATCAATTCTTCTGTGGTCTTTCTTATTCATTGTCCAGCTCTCACATGCATACTGAGACTATTGGGAATACCATGGCTTAGGTCAGGCGCACCTTAGTATTCAAACTGACATTTTCTCTCTTAAACATCTTGAAGAGGTCTTTTGCAGCAGATTTGCCTAATGCAATATGTCATTTGATATCTTGACTGCTGTTTCCATGGACGTTGATTGTGGATCCAAGTAAAACAAAACCTTTGATGACTTCATTCTTTCTTCCATTTATTATGATGTTGCTTATTGGTCTACTTGTGAGGATTTTTGTTTTATGTTGAGGTGTAATCCATACTGAAGGCTGCATGAATCCTTCAATATTGCAACTTGAGGTTTGAATTTTTTCTTCTGTTCTGTCATCTTGTGAAGTGCTGAATATGTATTCCTTTTCCTGTGTTTGTTGTTTGGTATTCTAACTGCAGGTCTTTGCATGTTTCATTATAATACATTACTTTTTCTTGTCAAGCTGCCCCTTTGAAGTCTTCTTTTAGTTCTTTTACTTCATCATTTTTTCCATTCAGTTTAGGTACTGGACTTTCAAGAGCAAGCTTCAGAGTCTCTTCTGACATCTGTTTTGGTCTCTTCTTTCTTCCTTGTCTTTTTAATATCCTTTTGCTTTCTTACTGTATCATATCCTTGATGCCATCTCACAACTTGTCTGGTCTTCAGTCACTGGTGTTCAATATGTCAACTCTATTCTTGAGATTGTCTCTAAATTTAGGTACTCAAGGTTATATTTTGGCTCTTGTGGACTTGTTTTAATTTAATTTTTAAGCTTCACCTTAAACTTGCTTATGATGGTCTGTTCTAGTCATCCCCTGACCTTATTCTGACTGATGCTATTGAGCTTCTCCATAGTCTTTTCCTGTAGATGGAGTTGATTTGATCCCTGTGTATTCCATCTGGTGAGATCCACACATACAGTTCATGTTTATGTTGTTGAGAAAACTATTTGCAATGAATAAGTCACTGTTCTTGCAAAATTCTATGATGTGATCACTGGCATAATTTTTAGAACAAAGGCCATATTTTCCAATAACTGATCCTTCTTTTTTGTTTCCAACTTTTTCATTCCAATAACTAGTTATTATCAATAAAATTAATCCTAGAACCTTGACTATATGAAGAAGAGTGTGGCATCAGGATTGAAGAAGACTCATGAGCTATGAGTTGGAACTGACTGGAGGGCACCTAACAACAACAACAAATCTAATTGAGGAATGTATTTGGAAAGATTGTTTATGATAGATAGATGCAATGTGTCCTCATGGAACAAAGGAAAAACAAAACAATGATAGTAGGGGTATAGGATGTGTGGTGGTTATGTTTGTCTGTCAACTTGGTTGGGTCAGTTGAGTGGCTGGGCAGCTGAATGTAGTTATTCCCCATGGCGAGATTAATAATTAACTCCAAGGTGGAATGTATTGGAGCAGCTGAGTAGCTGCTTTAGGGATGTGGTCTGCTTCCCGTATATAAGAAACAGCTTTGGGAATGGTCTCCAGCTTATGGCACACTTGGACCCTGCATGTGGCTGTGTCATTGTTCAGCAGCCTGCCATGCTCTGCCAACCTTGGGACTTACAATGGACTTGAATTAATGGCCTGTCATGTGGTTTGGTAACATTGGGACTGTGCTGTTTTATTTATTGACCTTGGACTTGTTAGCCTCAGCAGTCAGTAGCTGCCTGAGTGAAGAGGTGCCTCTAGCTTCAGTGGGCTGGGAGCAAGAGGTAGAGCTGAAGCCGAAGGTCCAGGGGCTTTCACCCAGCCCCTAGAGCCTGGCACTTTGAACTTGGACTTAAAGTCTCCAAATTGTAAGAATAAACTCCTGTTTGTTCAAGCCATCCCATTTGTGGTATATTCCTCTCAGAGTGGCAGCAGGTAGCCAAAACAGGATGTTATGGAAAAATCCAGCAAAAACACCCAATCCAACCTAACCCAGAGAATTCCCAAGGGAAGTGAGACTTAAACTGAGAACTGAAAGATCATTAGTATAGTCATAGGAAATTTTGTTGTTGTTAGGTGGTGATGAGTTGGCTTTAACTCATAACAACCCCACGTACAATAGAACAAAATACTGCCCAGTCCTGCACCATCCTCACAATCATTGCTATACTTGATTTCATCATTGCAGTCACTGTATCAATCATCCCGTTGAGGGTCTTCCCTTTTTTCACTGACCCCCTACTTTACCAAACATGGTATCTTTCTCCAGGGACTGGTCCCTCCTGATAATATGACCAAAGTTTGAGAGACGAAGTCTTTCCATTCTCACTTCTAAGGAGCATTCTGGCTGTACTTCTTCCAAGACAGATTTGTTCATTCTTCGGGTTGTTGTTGTTGTTATGTGCCGTCGAGTCGGCCCCGACTCATAGCGGTCCCTCCTTGGGTTTCCGAGGCAGTATCACTATGGAAGTAGGATTGCCCAACCTTCCTTCCGAGGAGAGGCTGGTGGGTTTGAACCGCCAGCAGTCTGGTTAGCAGGCAAGTGTCTTAGCCACTATGCTGCCAGAGATTCTTCGGGTAGTCGATAGTATATTCAGAATTTTTTGCCAGCACCTTAATTCAAATGTATCAATTCTTCATTCTTCTCTAGTTATTGTCCAGCTTTTAAATGCATATTAGGTTATTAGAAAGACAATGTTTTGGGTCAGGCACGCTTTAGTCTTCAAAGTAACATCTTTGCTCTTTAACACTTTAAAGAATTCTTTTGCAGGAGATTTGCCCAGTGCAATTCGTGCTTTGATGTTTTGACTGCTACTTCTATGGGCATTGATTGTGGATCCAAATAAAGTGAAATCGTTGACAACTTCAATTTTTTTTCCATTGATTATGATGTTGCTTATTGGTCCAATTATGAGGATTTTTCATACTGAAGGCTGTAGTCTTTGATTTTCATCAGTAACTTCTTCAAGCCTTCTTCACTTTCAACAAGAAAGGTTGTGTCATCTGCATATCTCAGTTTGTTAATGAATCTTCCTCCAATCCTGATTCTGTATTCTTAATATACTCCAGCTTTTCAGATTATTTGCTCAGCAATCAGGTTGAGTAAGTATAATGAAAGGGTATAACCCTGAAATAGCATGCATGAAAGCCCAGAGGTGTGAGAGAGATTGGGAGGTTTGGAGAAATGAAAAGAAGTCCCCCTTAGCTGTAGCAGATACATGGAGACATCTGAAGGAATGTGTTAGGAAACTAATGACAAAAGAGGCTTAGCCTAAAGTCAGATGAGTGAGATTAAGAGAAATGGGCAGATTAAATTTAGAAATTAGAAATTTAGGAGGTAGAATTCACAAGGCCTTTGACTACTTAGATTTGAGTAATAAGGGAGAGAGAATCATCAAGGATCATTCTAGGTGTCTGACCTGGACACCTGAGTGGATGTTGGTGCCACACACTGAGGAAGGAAGCACAGAAGAAGCAAGTTTGGGGTGGCCTTTGGGACATTTCATGATGCCCAATAAAGATAAAGATAAAGATGCACTGTACAGATAAAGACGAAGGAGATATTACCATATAGAAACTAATTTAATATCAACATGCAAAGGATTTACAAAATAAGACCCTTCAAAGTTGGCTTAGAAGGATATGCCAGAGAGGGAGAAGAAAAACAAGACAGAGTGTTTTTAAAAGTTAAAGGAAATAGTATTTCAAAAAATATTGCATGGTCATGGTGTCAAATGCCACAAGAGGGCAATAAGATAAGAACTGGAAAGTTCCCATTGGGTTTTGCAGTGAGAA